ATATGTCTCAGAACCAGTCAAATACATGCCTCTCAATCGTTACTATGTGTGTTGGCATTTGGATCTGCCATGATGATAATATAGGTCTAATATTACTTCTCTGTGTGTGTTTGTGTGTGTGTGTGTGTGTGTATGTGTGTGTGTGCAATCTACTGTATGTCAGAAGTTTTCAATAACTGTAGTAGGTTACTACGAGACAAAAATCCCCATCATTGGAAGAGTATTGTAGTAGGTTAACTTACTACGAGACAGTAAAGAAAATCTCGATTATTGGCACATTACCGAGGTCCCCGTGTGTGGAGGTGGCCGGGATGTCAACCATGACCTCACGGATCAAATCCCTGTACAGGAGACCCGGATTATCAGCTTCTGGAATGAATCAAAGACATTTTTTACTAAGTAAAGGGACACAAGTCTAGTGGTAGTAGATGTACAATAAGGCGTTTAACGTCAGCGTCTTCGGGCACTAAAGGAAGAAGCACGTGCACAGCTGTAAGACAATCAATCGTCAGTCTGTGTCCACGAGGTGGTAGCTGTATTCAGAAACGGGCATGTCTAGTTCTATGCCTGAATGTGTGAAGGTTAGGATCAGACACGGTTCTGGATTGTCTCCCCGTATCCAAGAACGTAGGTTTGCCACACACACACACACAGGCACGATTCTGGATCCGTGTGGGACCTTAAGTTGCTACTAATTAAATTAAAATGACATTTCCAAACCGGGTCGGGTCCGGCCCGGCCGGGGTGTTTGTGTGAACGAGAAATAAACAGTTGATATCAAAATATACACAAATAGTTCTCATGATGGATTTTCCCACTTTTTTTGTGTGTTTTGTTGTCTTTTATATCATATACTTTTCATTACCACAATCCGGACCGAATTATACCAAAATACCGAGAACTTTTCATATTAATCGGTCAGAATCATGACAAGAAAAGTACCTGGAACAACTTGACATATGAAGCGACATAAGCCGTTGCAGCCGATGTCATTCCACTTATTCAATTGACTTGAGTCCCAGTAGTAGTGAACGCAATCCTCGTGGCCTCCACCGTTGTCTGGTTGTCCCGAACCCCAATTGGAGTAGCTTCCATTGCCAAGTGCAGTGCCATCGATCCACTCGAAGCTGCCTTCTGTGTTCTGATCATGGAGACCAAACCAGAAGCGTGAGCTGGCGTCGACGGAGTTCTTGAGTGAGACGAGGAAGGCGTCTGTGGCAGCGTCTCGGGGCATGGCGAGGGTGCCACCGTCCAGCCGGCAAAGCCGAGCCGACGCCTCGAAGTTCGCTTCAGTGTTGAACGCCTTGTAGCAGATCCCACGCCACTCCGTATAGCTTTTGGGACAACACGCTGCAAATGAAACACAGGTTTACAATAGAAATTTTGACATTGACGAGTAAATACTTGTATTTATATAGCATGTTTCACTACATCTCACTCCCTATATATCTAGAAATGAGAAAGATGAAATAAAGTCGTGTATATAAAGTCACATTGGCATATGTCCTAGGCACCTTCGTGCCAAATTTAATTTTTTGTTACTCTGTGGGCGCCCCTATATCAAATGTGAAATATAATAACCTGTGGTATTGGATGGGAGAGACGGGTCCATGGTTGTTTCCGTGGCAGTCACAGCAGTGGTACCACCTGCATATGGCCATGCGGTCGTCCTTCCTGCCACATAGGCAGCCATTTCTATCAACACTGGAAAGAAAGACTTTTGTTGGTGCGCCTCAGAATCCTAGCCCTTGTCCTGGTGGCAATTTTTACACAATATTTTTCAATAATTCTATGTCTTAAATCAGGTCTTTTCTTGCCCTAGGGTGGCATAGTTATTACTTTCGCATATACAGGTGCTATATGGATGGTACTATATGTGAAACCCAATAATTGTTGGGCGCCGCAGGACTAGGGCTGGTATTCTAATTGATAGTCATACATAATGAAAAACAAGCGGACAGAGGTAAACGAATAGCACACATTTGAAACGTTATTTTTTTGTTTCCGTGCCCACCCCACACACACATACACACACACACACCGCACGCACGCACTCACACACACGCGCGCACCATATACACACACATGTGTGCACACACATAAACACACAACACATAAACACACACATACACATTCACCGCACGCACGCACACGCACATGCACACACACGCACACACATACACACACACACAAATACCCCAACAC